TCAATTCCCACCTATGAGTGAGAACATGCGGTGTTTGGTTTTCTATCCTTGCGATAGTTTCCTCAGAATGATGGTTTCCAGCTTCATCCATGTCCCTTCAAAGGACATTAACTCATCCTTTTTTATGGCTGCATAGCAGTCCATGGTGTATATGTGCCACATTTTCTTAATCTAGTCTATCATTGCTGGACATTTGGATTGGTTCCAAGTCTTTGGTATTGTGAATAGTGCCACAATAAACACACATGTGCATATGTCTTTATACCAGCATGATTTATAATCCTTTGGGTACATGCCCAGTAATGGGATGGCTGGGTCAAATGGTATTTCTAGTTCTAGTTCCTTGAGGAATCGCCACACTGTCTTCTACAATGGTTGAACTAGTTTATAGTCCCACCAACAGTGTAAAAGTGTTCCTATTTCTCCACATCCTCTCCAGCACCTGTTGTTTCCTGACTTTTTAATCATCGCCATTCTAACTGGTGTGAGATGGTATCTCATTGTGGTTTTGATTTGCATTTCTCTGATGGTCAGTGATGATGAGCTTTTTTTCATGTGTCCGTTGGCTACATAAATATCTTCTTTTGAAAAGTGTCTGTTCATATCCTTTGCCCACTTTTCGATGGGGTTGTTTGATTTTTTCTTGTAAATTTGTTTAATTTCTTTGTAGATTCTGGATATTAGCCCTTTGTCAGATGGGTAGATTGCAAACATTTTCTCCCATTCTGTAGGTTGCCTGTTCACTCTAATGGTAGTTTCTTTTGCTGTGCAGAAACTCTTTAGTTTAATTAGATCCCATTTGTCAATTTTGGCTTTTGTTGCCATTGCTTTTGGTGTTTTAGTCACGAAGTCCTTGCCCATGCCTATGTCCTGAATGGTATTGCCTAGGTTTTCTTCTAGGGTTTTTATGGTTTTAGGTCTAACATTTAAGTCTTTAATTCATCTTGAATTAATTTTTGTATAAGATGTAAGGAAAGGATCCAGTTTCAGCTTTCTACATATGTCTAGCCAATTTTCCCAGCACCATTTATTAAATAGGGAATCCTTTCCCCATTTCTTGTTTTTGTCAGGTTGGCCAAAGATCAGATGGTTGTAGATGTGTGGCATTATTTCCAGGGGCTCTATTCTGTTCCATTGGTCTATATCTCTGTTTTGGTATACCTAGGTATTTTTTAATAGCTATTGTAAAAGGGATTGAGTTCTTTATTTGATTCTCAGCTTGTTTGTTGTTGCTGTATAGCAATGCTGCTAATTTGTGTACATTGATTTTGTGACCTGAGACTACTGAATTCATTGATCACATCTAGGAGTCTTTTGGAGGAGTTTTTAGGGTTTTCTAGGTGTAAGATCATCAGCAAACAGAGATAGTTTGACTTCCTCTTTTCTAATTTGGATGCCCTTTATTTCTTTCTCTTGCCTGACTGTGCTGGCTAGGAATTCCCAAAAAGATTAAGTAATTTGCACAACGTCTCAAGGGTAGAAACAGGTCCCAGACTTACAGACCTGTGCTCCCTTCCCTCAGTGAGTTTTTAGTATGATATTCTAGACCTTCCGGGATCTGGCTACAGTTCACTTCCTGGTCTCCCAGGTCTGCTGACACACACACGTGCATACACATAAAAGTACAGTGGTGTATGTACATTCCTATATGCACACCATGTACTAGGCCACCTCTTTGCTTTTTGTCCTTGTACCCAGCACAATGCCTGCATTATTCTGGGCAATGAACAAATGTTTTTTGAATAAATAATTGCTGCTCCTTCTGGAATTTATTTTTGTTGCATCCACCTGTTACACTCATATCCATACCCCAAGGCCCTATAAGCATATTGTTTTTCAAGGAAGCTCTTGCCACCACTCCTCCACAGAATTATTTCTCTCATATACATCTCTCTTGTATTCACAGCACATTATTTATACTTGTGTTGTAACATATATGTTAGAACATATAACACCTTCTTTGCACGATAAATACCACATATATATCTTACCAACATGCTTAAGATTGAAAATCTTTTAAGAGCAGGCTTGATGTTTTGTTCACTTATGTGCCCTTGAGTTTCCAAACCCCTCTTCTGATTACACAGAACAAAAAAGATAAGAGAGAGAAAAAGGTGGGGGTCACTTAAGTCAGTGTAAAGAATGTGATTCCTTCCCCCACTGTCCTCCATCTTATGCCAGGATGATAATGACAAGTCCAAGTGTCTTTCCTGGGCTCCTCATCTGGGAAGATGAGCTGTCATGTGCCTGGGGGAATTCTGAGGTCTATAAAGCTGACTGTCCTTTTAACCCCATATTTGAATAGTCTGAATAAAGTAGCTTCTGGGAGCTTGAACTATTACAAGTCCAGATCCTCTCCCAGGGTACTCCTTCGCCACTATCTTTCATAGGAGTCCCAACCCAACTTTATGGTACTCAGGGCTGCCATGAGAAATGGTTTTACTTAGTACTAATATACATATTTTTTTTCTTTGGACACTCTCCCAGTTCAAATTTATATTTAAGATTCTTAGTTAATCTTCCTTCTTGAGGTAATTTACAGAGATAAATTAACCCTACGTTTGTAGTCTTATAATGATATCTCCCAAGATAGATACTTCTTTTATTTTACAATTTTTACTCAACAAATTCATACTCATAAGTGATGTTGTCAGAGCACTCCAGAACTCACTGAGCACTCCCAAAGAGTTGTGGGTAGAAAAGAGAAGAGGTACCATTAGATGAACACATATCCCCTCCCATTGCTCTGTTCCACGTTATCATTATCTGCCCCCATAATGCCTTTTATGGGGACTACTGAGTGTCTGAAATGTGTTTGTCAAATTTTTGAAAATGTACCCACTGGGTGAAGATAACCCCTTAAACTTTCTCATAAATTACCAGGTAAGGCCTTAGCAGGATTTCACAGGCAGATGGCTGAAAGCAAGAAAGGACCAGAAGGCCTCCCACTTCTCTCTCTATTTTGCCAGGGCCCCCTGAGTAAAGAACTGTCATGAGCCACCCAGAGATACAGTGTTGTACAGGAGAAACCACGGCAGCCTTAGACCCAGGTACCTCTTCCCCAGCCCAATGGTGGGATGTAGGACCAATCAATACTGAGCTTGTTTCCCACCAAAAAAAATGAGAACTCACCTCTGACTCACAAGGTTGTTGGGAAGATCAAAAATAGAAAGTGAATATTAAGTTCTTGGCTACCACTTTTGTTGTTGTTGTTATTTTAAAACTTTTTAGCAGTCAAAATGTCTTAGCAATCAGTTGCTGGATTGCTCTTCAATCCCTATCCTGTTATTTTTTGGACTTTTTACGACAAAAAATTTCAAAAGTATTTAAAAGTTGGAAGAATAGTATAATGAACCCTCATGTACACATCACCTAGTCTCAGCAATTATCCACTAATGGGCCAATCTTATTTCAGATATTTATCTTTTCATTCACCTGCTCCCCTCTTGGGTTATTTTCTTCATTTATTTATTTATTTATTTATTTAAGATAAAGTCTCACTCTGTTGCCCTGGCTGAAGTGCAGTGCATGATCTTGGTTCACTGCAACCTCTGCCTCCCAGGTTCAAGCGATTCTCCTGCCTCAGCCTCACAAGTAGTTGGGACTATGGGTGTGTGCCACCATGCCCAGCTAATTTTTGTATTATGAATAGAGACTGGGTTTCGCCATGTTGGCCAGGTTTGTCTTGAACTCCTGATCTCAAGTGATCTGCCCGCCTTGCCTCTTGGGTTATTTTAAAGCAAAGCCCAGACATCATATCATTTCGTCCAGAAAAATTTCAGCAAATGTCTCTTTAAAAATATTTTTAACATAACCATGATTTTTTATCACACACTAAAAAATGAACAACAGGCCAGGCACGGTGGCTCATGCCTGTAATCCCAGCACTTTGGGAGGCTGAGGCAGGCAGATCACTTGAGGTCAGGAGTTCAAGACCAGCCTGGCCAACATGGTGAAACCCCATCTCTACTAAAAATACAAAAATTAGCCAGGCATGGTGGCGCATGCCTGTAGTTCCAGCTACTCGGGAAGCTGAGGCAGGATGATGGCTTGAACCAGGAGGCAGAGGTTGCAGGGAGCCGAGATCTTGCCATTGCGCTCCAGCCTGGGTGACACAGAGCAAGACTCTGTCTCAAAAAATAAAAATAAAAATTTCTTAAAAACATTAAATATTCAGTGTTCAAATTTTTATATTTGCCTTATGAATGTTCTTAGTGTTTGTTCAAATGGGAACAAAATGAAGTAAACACATTGCATTGAGTTAATATGGCTCTTAAATTTCTTTTTTTTTTCAAGAGAATTAAATCGTTTATTGATTACACATTATAATGGATGATACACAAAATTCATTCCCATCTATAATTTTATCTGGTACCATTATTCAATTTAGATATATTGCATAGGATGTGCCAACAATCACTTTTATAACCAATAATTCCATGATTTTGCTTGGGTAATCCCTTTTAATGGTGAACTTCAGGTCACAACAGTAACTATCAGTTCAACTACACCAAGGTTTCCGAAGACAATGGCTTCTCCACCCAAGCAGGTTGTATATAAATTCCAAATAGAACCTGGCATCACCCTGAAGGAATTCTAACTTCACACTGTTGGGGAAATTTACCAAGATGGCTTCAGAGTAGATTAACTTTACCCAGCACATTAAAAAGAAGACATTTATTCAGCGTCACGATCAGACTAACATTTAGCAATCAACAGCATGGGTGCAAAAAAAAAAAAAAACTACGTTAAAACCCTTTGTTGGAATGCTTTACACTTTCCACAGAACAGAAACTAAAATAACCTGTTATACAATTAGTCACAAATACAGTCCTCAAGTTTTTTGCCCATACACATGAGTATTTGTCTAAAACATGTCTTCTTTGTAGCAGCTAGGCCCTGCCACCACTGTGCTTGAGTTCACAAATCTGTTGTAACTTGTAGCTTCCCTGTCACTTCTCTGGCTCTCCTCTCCTGCTAAGCTTTGTTTCCTAATTAAAATCTTCTGCCACTGCCATAGCTACTGCTGCTGCTGGAACCGCCATAGCCACCTTGGTTTCGTGGTTTTGCAAAGTATTGGCCTCCACCGCCATAGGGGCCATAGCTTCTGCCTCCAAAATTTCCTCCCTTCATGGTCCAAAATTTGAAGACTGATTGTTGTAATTGCCAAAATCATTGTAGCTTCCACCACCTCCAAAATTGCTTCCATCATTACCAAATCCATTATAGCCATCCCCACTGCCACCATATCCGCCACCATATCCTCCACCACCACAGCTGCCACCAAAGCCACCACCACCACTGAAGTTTCCTCCACAACCGAAGTTGTCATTCCCACTGAAACCACCTCCACGACCACCACCAAAGTTTCCAGAACCACTTCGACCTCTATGGCTGGATGAAGCACTAGCCATCTCTTGCTTTGACAGGGCTTTCCTAACTTCACAGTTGTGGCCATTCACAGTATGGTATTTCTGAATGACAATCTTATCCACGGAGTCATGGTCGTCAAAGGTTACAAAGGCAAAGCCCCTTTTCTTGCCACTGCCTCAGTCAGTCATGATTTCAATCACTTCAATTTTCCCATACTGTTCAAAATAATCTCTTAGGTGATGTTCTTCAGTGTCTTCTTTAATGCCACCAACAAATATCTTTTTCACAGTTAAGTGGGCACCTGGTCTTTGAGAATCTTCTCTTGAGACAGCTCTCTTTGGTTCCACAACTCTTCCGTCCACCTTGTGTGGCCTTGCATTCATAGCTGCATCCACCTCCCCCACAGTGGCATATGTGACAAACCCAAAGCCCCTGGAACGCTTGGTGTTTGGATCTCTCATTACCACACAGTCCGTGAGCGTTCCCCATTGCTCAAAATGGCTCCTCAGGCTCTCATCGGTTGTTTCAAAGCTCAGCCCTCCAATGAAGAGCTTCCTCAGCTGTTCGGGCTCTTTAGGAGACTCTGACTTAGACATGACGGCAGGGAGAAGAGAGACTTTAACGATGCTTCTTCGGCAGCGTCCACGGGCAGAAAAAAGCAAATTTCTTTTATTCTACACATCCCTCCTTCTCCCCTAACCATGTACACATTAAAAAAACAAAGTCACTTGCCCTTTTGAATTTTCCAAATTCTGGATATTACTAGTTGCATTTTTGCAGTGATAATACATTCCTCTCTAGCCCGTACTTTCTCTTTTCCTTTTTTCTTTTTTTAGACAGAGTCTCACTCTGCTACCCAGGCTGAACTGCAGTGGTGTGATGTTGGCTCACTGCAACCTCCGCCTCCCAGGTTCAAGTGGTCCTCCCACCTCAGCCATCCAAGAAGGTGGGATTAAAGGCATGCACCACCACACCTGCCTAATTTTTGTGTTGTTAGTAGAAACAGGGTCTCACCATGTTGGCCAGGCTGGTCTCAAACTCCTGGACTCAAGTAATCCACCCGCCTCAGCCTCCCAAAGTACTGGGATTACAGGTGTGAGCCACTGAGCCCAGCCTCCCCCGTACTTTCTGTAAACTGATAGAACTAGAGGCTTGACAGCTTCGGGCTCAATTTTTTGTCAAGAATACTTCATAGGCAGTACTAAGTACTTGTTTTTTGGTTTGGTTTGGGTTTTTTTAAGTGTACAATTCAATGACTTTTCATATATTCACACTGTGCAGCCTTCATCCCTATAGTCAATTTTAAACATTTCCTTTACTCCAAATAGAAATCCCACACCTCTTAGCCATCACCTCCCAAATTACCATTTCCTTTAACCCCAGCCCTAGGAAACCATTAAGTTACTTTCTGTCTTTATAGATTTGCCTATTCTGGATGTTTTCTATAAGTGGAAGCCACAGTATTTGAATATTTGGATCTTTGTGGATGTTTTATTTCACTGAATATGTTTTTAGGTTTATTCATATTGTGGTATGTATTAGTGCTCATTCTTTTTATGGCGAATAACATTCTATTGCATGAATATACCATATTTTGTTTATCCACTCATCAATGAATGAGCGTTTGGGTTGTTTTTACTTTTTGGCTATCATGAATAATGCTGCTATGAACATTTGTAGACATATGCTTTCATCTGATTGTATACCTAGAAGTGGAACAGTTAGATCATATAGTAACTCTGTGTTTAAGGGACTGCCAATGATTTTCAAAAGTGATTGCACCATTGTACATTCTCAGCCTTGGTGTATGCAGGTTCCAATTTCCCCACATCTTCACCAACACTTGTTTTATTATCAGTCTTTTTTATCGCAGCCATCCGATGGGATGTGAATGATATCCTATTGTGGTTTTGATTTACATTTCCCTCATGGCTAATAAGAGCATCTGCTCATGCGTTTATTGTGCATGTGTTCTTTGGAGAACTGTCTTTTTATATCCTTTGCCCATTTTATCATCAGGTTTTCTTATTATTATTGAGTTGTAAGAGTTCTTTACATATTCTAGATTCAAGTCTTATCAGTTATATGACTTGCAAATTTTTCTTTAATTCTGCGTGTTGCCTTTTCACTTTCTAGGTGATGTCCTTTGAAGCACAAAAGTTTTTCATTATAATAATGTCCAGTCATCACATTACTCTTTCCTTTGTTGCTTGTGTTTTTGTTGTCATATCTAAAAACCATTGTCTAATTCGAATTCGTAAGTATTTACCACTGCATTTTTTTTCTAAGAGCTTATAGTTTTCACTCTTATTTTAGATGTTATGATTCAGCTGGAGTTAATTTCTGTATATGTTGTGAGGTAGGGATCCAGATTCATTCTTCTACCTGTAGATATGAAGTTGTTCCAGCATCATTTACTGAAAAAGACTGTTTTTTCCCATTTTGTTATATTTACACACATGTTAAAAATTAAGTACTTTTTATAGCAACACATCAGGAAGCATATAATGCCTAATTGCCTCCTTTTTTGTATGAAAATTGATTCTATTCAAATGTCAACCTGCTCCATCCATTATATGGGTCCCCATTAGCCTTTCACCTGGTGGTTTGAACATTATTTCATTAGGGGTTGCAAAATGGTGGTGTTCCAAATCTGTCACTCCTGAATATTTTATGCCACAATTCTTCTGTAATATTGAGCTATGTGTAAGACACAGCACTGTGAGCTTTATCTCACTATTGATCTCCACACCTACACATCATAATCCCTCAGCATACATTGGAGAGTCCAAAGTTCATATTCTTAACCTAACTCTCTCTCTCTCTCTTTCTCTCTCTTTTGTTCCTGGGCATTCCCCTAGCTCAAAGACAAGATTCATTTCTCACCACCTTCCCACATTGCATGTTTGCCATCACTGAACAGCTACCCCTTTTTCCACTGGCCACTGCCAGCTGGGCTAATCTTACTGCCTGCCTGTGCAGTCTCCTTGTTTACATCCTTACTACTGCCCTAGGCTGGCCCCTAGTCAGGGCCTCCTTGGCCCACATGTTCCCTCCCTTGCCTTCCTGAGGTCTGGTTCCCACACTTGTGCCAAGATCAGGAGAAAGAGGCCCAAGTTTGTTCAGCCTGGAGAAGAAAAGATTGATGTGGGGTTGAATGATGACTTTATTTTTCCAAACTTGCGTTTATATACCAGTTTTATTTTCCTGTGTTCTGAAGAGAAAAGGAACATAAATCAAAACATGAAGGATTTGGGGAAGTACAATGAGAAATCTCTCCTATTGCATAGACTGATGGAAACTAAATATTGCCAATGCTGAAGTGGAATCTATGGATTCTGTTGTTGTTATTATGTTTGGTTTGGTTTTTATTTATTCTATAGAGGAAGGTAGTTTAGTACAAACAAAAAGATTTTGAGTCAGGCAAAGTTTCTTGTCATGGCTTTGCCATCTGGTAACTAAATGACATTGAAATTAAGTATCTAACCCCATTAAGCCTCAGTGTCCTCATCTGCAAACTGGGATAACTCCTTCCATGCAGGGTCTTGGCAATGGTAGCAACAAATCAAGCTGCAGCCATTGCTATTACCTTCCCCCTCTTTCCTGCAAGGAGAGCTTTTAGAATCTGTCATTTGTGTGACTGGGGAGAACCCCTGAATTCACACAAGGAATGGGCCAAATGTTTTAAAATCTAAATGATCATTCCAATCTGAATGTTTTAAGGTGTAGTTTTTCACAACTACTAACCGATATGGAGGAGGGGGTGATCTTGCCTCTTATATGTAAAAAACTGGCAGGAAAAGGTAGTTCCTTAACAGACTCAAGGTCTTCCCCCCAAAATTAAATAAATACATGAATTGTAATTTAAGATATAACTAAGAGTCCCTATAAAATATAACTGAATGCCACATCTTTGAGCCACATAGTCCCAAGTGGCAGTAACCATTATTTGCACAAGAAAGGTGATAGATACATCACCAGTGAGGCCTCAAAGAATGTGATCCTAGTGCTCTCATAGTTAACTGTGCAGCCCTGGACAAGGGATTTTGCCTTTCCGGGTCCCAGTTTTCTCATTGGAATGACAAAATTGACTTGGCAGAGTACTATGTGCCTTAATTGGCTAATAGCACACTCTGAGGATAGGTAACACTGGGAAAGAGCTGTTTCTATTATTTAACGAATCATGGTTATTGTTGTGATTCCTCCTGTCTTCTGCCCGAACACACATTCACACAAGAGACCTGTTTTCTTTCTGGCTGGTGCAAAGTTTTGTCAGGCCCCACAGGTATTGGGTAGAGCTACTCTCTGAGGCAAAGAGCTTCTCAGCATAGGCAGTATAGTAAGGAAATAAAAATATGGGCTTTGGGGTCAGCTAGATCTAGGATGGAACTCACACTGCTTCTTACCGAACAGTATAACCTTGGGCAAGATACTTTACTGTTTCTGAGCCTCAGTTTTTATATCTGTAAAATCGGACTAATGATGGTAATTTTTATAAGATGGCTGTGAGGATAAAACAAGGCAATGCTTATATATGAGATAATGGCCAGGGTTTAGCAGTGGTAAATGGCTCAATAAATGTTCACTCTGTTATTATTATTATCATCAGGTCAAGCCAGGAAGCTAAAACCATCTCCCATCCCCACCACCCCAGGGCCAGCCTGTACAAACAGGCCCTACTGAGAATGAGATTGATCAGCCACACACTTCAGAGATGATCTGTTGGAGCCTGCTTTGAAGTGCAAAGGCTTCCAAAAACCCCTTTGCTTTCTTAATAAGCAGTGACAATTCCAGAATTAGGGAAGGAGTGTGACTTTTGGCTTATACCTAGGTGGTCCCCTGGGACAATTGCACTTGCTTAATTCAGACCCTCAGCTGTAATTCCATGTCAACTCATGTGAGAGAAGCCAAAAATGAATGCAGGAAAAAAAAGACTTTGAATAAAAAAGACCAAGATAGTGACTGAGGCAGAGCCAGCCATCTGTCCACCATTTCCTATACACACCTCGCAGTTTTTTCTGTGAACCCTGTCCTCACCTGGCTAGGGTCCAAAGCCCATTGTGAATCCTAGTTGCGAAAGCCCCTCACAGCCTGTCAGTGAGCCAGTCAGCAGAGTTGTTGAATGCCCACCAGGCACTGAGCTGGGCACAGGTGATACAGTGAACAAGACAGACATGGTCGCTACAGTCATGGAACCTCCAAGCTAGCAGGGAAGACAAAAACTAAACAATTATTAACATGCTTGATTACAAGGTATTAAGTGTGCAAAGTGCTGTGAGGTTCAATGATGAGGGATGAAGGGAGTATGTAATGGAGGGTCCCACCTAGTCTAGGAAGTCAGAGAAGCCTGCCTGGAAGAAGTGATCCTCAGGTGAAAACCTGGAGGCTGATAGCAGTCAGCCAGGTAAAAAAAGGAAGCCAGCTGAGGTTCTGCATGCACCTGTCCTTAGCGCTGCAGCCCAGTTGCCTTTCTACTGAGGTCACTCCAGAAAGCGCCAGTACTCCTGGGGCACAGTGGCTCCTACAGTAGTTGGATCCTCAGCCCTGCCCAAGCTCCCTGAGGTCCTCTGGGGAAAAATCCTTTCTGGTTTCTGGTGACTAAAGCAGGTTTGATAATTAACTTTGCTTACTTCCTTGATTCAGCATTTCTCCA